GATGAAAGTTATATTATGCAACTTGAAATGTCAGATTCCATTATTTATATCCCAACACCAATGTTTGTAGTGGAGACCAGACTTGAGAAACAAGCTCAAACACAACACGACAATTTCAGCACACGAAACACAATCACGACAATTTCAGCATTCACTATTTATAAATGAAAACAAAATAACAATTACCTTACTTCCAGGCAGATGAGTAGCCATATCAGGTAGAAAGTTTTGTGTAAACGTACGCAAACATATTCATAATTCTACATCACAAAAGAACTTTTGATCCGCTCGGTAGCACTGAAGTTAACCTAACTTTGCATAACAGAAACAACATTGAAAAGTGATTGCAATATCTAGCACTTACTTTACTCTCTGATCAATGAATGTAATTCAGAAGCCGTACTCAGAAATTACAAGTGATCCTATTAACTGTGAAAACCTAAGCGTAACTGTGAAGGGAATAGTAAAAATTACGTGCTCAAAAAAAAACAAAAAAAAAACGGCCTTCGGCCAACGGGATTAACATAAATTATCTTTGTACCTATCCGGCACCTAATCTCCAATGCATTTTATTCCAAAGTACTTTTTGACGATGGCACGGTTGACGCTTCGCTATGTTATCCATGTTCGTGTCGAGGCTGCTTCCTTCGGCCTATGCGATTAACATAAACATCGCTGAAGCTGCCCAACGCATTTTATATCAGAATACTTTTTTAATGAATGAAAGCACGCCTGTTTGAACTACGAAACTGAATGCTATCGTTCTCACCACATGTTTGTCGTAGTCATTCACCAATCCCGTACCGTCTAAGTTGATTCCGGACGGTAAGGGATAAATCCCAAATTACTTTTCCGTCGATGCATGTAATTTCAAATTACAAATGTGTGACAAAGCGTTTGAGTTCAATATTAAACAGTCTAACAGCTTTGCAATGCCTTTTACAAATTTGCTAGTTCCAAACAAGTACTTAGTAAATCATTCCTGATGTGTAGTGTGGTACGAGTTTCAGTTCATTTTGTATTTTGGAGGTGGAGTATAATAAATGTAAACTTGAAGCTTTTCATTACTATTTTTTCAATAAAAATATAATAAGGATATGTGATATTAATATTTATATTAATTCTGTATTAAGTTTAGCGCTACTGAAATTCGCGCCAGCACACCAGAAATAACTACTTCTGAACAATTAAGAATAGAAGTGATATTTATTTAGTCGTCTACGCTTATCAGATTGAATTATGAACATAGGTAAAAAATGTTGGGCAAGAGTCGATAAAAAATATTCGTTCCTGTATAAATAAAAACTATTTGCGCAAGCAAATCAGTAACAGATTTTGGATATTATCCTTTTAGTGCTCTTTGGCACGTGAAGGGTCGAGTCGACTTACTGTTGAGAGAACATAGGGAGCAATTATTTGAATAAATATTCCCCACTGATCACAGAGAGGAAAGCTACGTTTATGTCCAGAAACAAAACAAGGTTCATCAGAGAGTTGCTCAATAGTTCAAGGAAAATGTACAAAACGTCCCATCGATATGGTAATTGATCAAGACGTTGAAGTAAAAATACTTGTTACAGGCATATTAATCTTTTACAATTACAGTCAAAATGGTAATTAAATCATTAAATATCACCGTTAAATTCAATATTATTTTCCTTTTTGATACTCAGGAGTCTCTAATTATATGGAAACATTTATGCAGCAGAAAACATTTTACTTGCCACTTAAAAGTATGTAACTATTTTCATCGTTTAATGTCATCTGATAGTGTGTTGAAAATAATATAAATGTATTGTATGCGACTTTTTGTAGTGAGCTGTTGGTACTGACATGTGACAATCATACTACGAGTGTTATAGTTGCAGATATCTATGTGGGATGAAAGATGTTTCCACCCTTGAGTAAGTTATTTTTTAATAAAAAACATGATTCATAAATCAGGAGGCAAGATAATGGTAGAACTCCTAGCCTAGTAAAGAGAGGCTTACTAGTTTCACGTGGGTGAGATTTGCTTATAATTCGTACAATTCGTTTCTGCAATATAAAAGTCTGAGATCTATAGGATGTGTTTCCCCAGAATATTATGCCTTATCTTTGGTGGGAATGAATATTCTCGGGATATACCCAACGAACAGTACGAAGCCTGACTGAACTTGAATTAATTCTGAATGCCTAGCACAATGAACTTAATTTCGTGTTCAATTAATTTAAATGGATATCTCAAATATTTTGTTTCCTTAACATCATCGTCAATTTTCAGTGAAGTATACAATTGTTTATTTAAAATGAAAAACTGTATTGAAATCGTTTACCCTTCGTTTATTATTATTTTTTTTATTACTAAACCAATTTGAAACATCTTTCCTTTATATTTATTTATTGAAAAGAATATTCGTATCATCAGCAAAGAAAACTATTCTTCCGTTTCGAACCAACGAGGGCATAGCGTTTACGTACTAGAAAGTAGAAAAAGATTAGGGATTAAAATCGAACCCTGCGATTCCCCATGTGCTGTTAGAAATCAATTGGGGAAGGTGAATAAATAATGTCCTTCATTCCATTATGATATCTATACTCTCTGAGAGCATTCTTAAGGTACGAACGTAACCCATGTAAAGCAATACCACGATTCCGTACGAGGGTAATTTTGAAAGTAAAATGTAATGGCCAATTATGCCAAATGCTTTTGCAAGATCTAAAAATATTAACACTGTATTTCCTTTCATTTAACATATATTTAAGAATTTCTTTTTTACCTTTTCGGCACAACCTCTATGGCATTTTACAGGGTTTTTTGGAGGGGGTACGACGATAAGATACATATTGTAACGGATGATCTATTACAAGTGAATGATGATAAACGAAAGTGCAAGATGTAAATTGGTTAATCATGCATCTGATACATGTTATTCGATTAGAGGCCTATACTTTTTATTTTGTTTGTAGATTTAAAACATGATATATTATTTTGTTAGCTTATAATTTGGCTAGAGCATTTTTTGCTTTATCATGCGTACTGCAATCTTAATTTCGTGGCGGCATTTTCCCCATTCATTACATATATTATAACTTGGAGTCACAAAAATTACATCGTATTAATTCTTTCATATTGAACTCTATCGCGACATTTTCCCTCCGTACCACTGATGGAGATGCGAACGAACAGAGGGTGCACGTGGCCCTTTCATAAACAAGACAATCCCAAAGTCTCGCACGGAAATCACTTGTACAAGGCTCGTACACTCCCAAGCAACACGAAAAAGCCTGCTTAGATACGCGGCTGGGGAGAAACCTCTCCGGCGCCCCCTTCGGAAGGCGGAGGCAGGGGCGAACGGGGACGGAGCCTGCGGCAGATAGACAGCACTTCCCCCACGCAGATTTGGAGCGTTACGCCGAGCGAGACGGGGAGTACAGCGCTCACCCAGCTGGCGCCCGGCCCCTCCATCACGCCCTCCCCCGCCTCGCGAAGCGCCGCGACGAGCAGTGGGCGAACGCCTCGCGCCGGCAGGACACAAGGCCAGGAAGAGGGCAAACGCGGGCACTATTAGCAGGAGATGCAACGCATTCATTGTTACGTTGCAAGGCAGTCGTTCTTTTGATTTCCGACTCTAGCGCTGACTACTAGATGCACAAAAGCGAAACAGGTGCGGAGAACGTGAAGAAAACAAACACGTCAAAAATGTTAAACATGTAATGCAGTCAAATATTCAAATATATCAAACTATTATTTACACTCTTTTAACTACAAAATGGTATGAGGCCAGTTATCTCAATCGAAGGGTGTTACTAAAATCAAAAGCCAATCAAATTATATACGAATTTAACAAAACTGTTTTTATCTAATTCGGAGATTGTTCCTGCATTAAAACTCTGTCTTTGCATTTTTTATTATTCTGTCTGACCAGGGTGAAATGTAGTAAGTACTTTGTGGTAGAGCAGAATCTAAGTGATAAATAGGATCAGACTGTTAGCGAAATTAAACTTTCGCATTAATAAAGAATGAAAAGCACATAGTAATTTATATGATAGATATAAAAAAAAACTTCGTTTCACAATGTGGAAACTAAAACACTAATTTTTCTTAAACTGTTTTAGAATTAAGGGAGACAAAACGACAAAGTGAAGTTCTGACTCTATTCTACAGTGTTTATACTCATAAATCACGTATAAATGAACATGAAAAGGAACATATTGTAATTTTTTATTCCGCGCCGCCAGACGAAATCAAGAGAATCACCAATCGAAATCAATTTAGGTAAGCCAACCTGGTGCTGCTGTATTTTCCAATTCCCCAAACCTCAAACCCACTACATCTACAGAATTGCACGCCGTGAAAACTACCGAATTGTACCGACAGGTATTTCTATAGCACCAACTGCTCCTTTGATTTGATAGCGATCCCGTCGTTTTTAATTTGTTATTACTTTTAGAGACTTTTATTCCAAATGTCTTTTTTGACACCATGCTCAAAGTCAACGTTACAATCGTCGGGGCACAGGAAGTTATGTTATAGATAGGTGCTTCTTACAAATACACAAGGGGCCTCATACTCAATCATCTTGCATTACACAGCGCCCTACGATTAATGCCTATATGAACTGGATGAAGTCCGAAATGATTTGTCCGTTCGTCATTCGTGCAGCTTTATTTTACATTATATAGCTAATGTGCGACTTAACCAACTATTTCTAACATTAGGCATATTTGGACTTAAGCCGTAACATATACACTGATTCACTTATCAATAACATATTTTCTCTCAACTCTAACCTTTATGACATAAATAAACATAATGAATATCTTCTGATATTCAGGACCTATCTTTCAAACATGTTCGCTAAATCCAGTACTGAAATAAGATCTGTAAGAAAATAGTTGAAGAATCAAACAAAACATGAAACGATCTGATTACACAATATGTAAGACATCAATTGTTTCAAATGATTATTTTCCTTTCCTTAAGTAGTATTAAATTGATAGAGACATTTAAAATCTTACACAATATACAAAGTAATGATTAGCTGAGACATTCAAAAACGAAATGTTGTTTGTGATGTTTGACTTGTACAGCGCGCTCTAAAGAGGGAAGCAGCCCCCGAAGCAGATGACACATATTCGCAATGGATGGAATACCCGGAATACGGATGTAGCTGACATGACCACAATTTTTCACTAGAAAAAAGAAAAGATTGTAGAGTACATTTCATAAAATTCATTGTGAATCTATTGCAATAAGTGAGAATACAACTTTATTCAACTTCACTCAATGTTTTATTATTATTATTATTATTATTATTATTATTATTATTATTATTATTATTATTATTTATGCGTGTGTCTACATTATTATAGTTTGTGTAACTGTCATAATAGAGAAAATGAAACATCATACTTATCTACAAAATTAAAGCAATGCATATTTAATATATAAGGGCATAAAATGACAGTTCTCCTGAAAATATTTAAAACAATCTCAAATAAAATGTTAACTTAAATGCTCATACTTGCACTTGTACGTCTCAAAGTTTAGTCGCATACAGAAATAACTAATGATCCGCGGGACAGCGCAACTAAATCTTACTCCGTGTGCTCACGAAGTTTCGGCTCAAATGCTTCTAATCTGACAGAGCTTTACACGATATACTCCGCGTCCGTCCATCCATACATCCATGCATGCACACATACTCGTACATACATACAGGCATACATACATACATACCCATTTTCCAGTACAAAATTGCCAGTAACCGCCGACCACCCGAATGTTCACCATCTTTAGTACAGCACTAATAGACCTTAATCCTGACGTGTGTGTTAAGTTAGAGCTCAAAAGAATCTTGAACACGGGTTTTAGGTCCGAAAATTCGAGACGTACTGATGAGATTTCAATACGGTTTCTGCCCCTATTGTAGGCATAAGTAAAAATAAAATTTAGATAGAATTGATTGATTATATAATATTATAATAATAAAAATACATAATAATATAAATACATAATAATATAAATACATAATAATATAAATACATAATAATATAAATATATAATTGACAGTATAATTATAACCTTGCAATCTTCTTTTTTTACATACACGTAATGTCGAACCCATTAAATTATGAAGTGTTAGTGAAGTCGCATTCCTTTTTTCCCCTACTCTACACATTATGGTTAGCGCTGTTACTCCCTTATTCCGCGTACCTGGGTAGCGGCCTTCGTCGTGGTGTATTCTTCACCATGATCTTCGAAACATTTTCATTTCAGGTCCTTACGTCTATGTTTATTTCGTGTCTACGGCCTATATTAATGTGTTTTAGCACGTCAAGCGACAGTTCTTCACCAGTCCAGTAGGCTTTCTCGACTAATGCCACATCCTATTTCCAAGAAATGCGATTTGAAACTACTGATAACTAGAAAAGTATTGCACAAATCGGAAAAAGAGTGCAACATAATTGCGATGTAAAGCATCGATATTAATCACCTATTAGACTTACATCCCAGTTTCGCTAATAACGCCCTTATTCCTGGCAAACGCCCTTATACCTTCTAAACATTTTATGTAGTTAAGAAAGTCACTCAATATTTCCATTGAAAATGTTATAAATAACTATGAGTCAACAGATAAAAATAAATTTTAAATTCTGCATAATTTAAAAATATTTATACTGATACATCAACTCGGCTGGACATCAGTATCCCTCCCACCTAGAAAAATCCTAGTCGGACCAATTTGTCGCAATCATTCGAAATTCAAAGGACGGACTGTGCCATGAACACAAGTAGCAGTAATGGAAGCCATCATATTCCATAAGTCAAGCTTACTCTCTGCCATTATTCCCTCATAATACGTTAATAGTTTCGTTTTGTTTCTTAAGTGACGGGTTGAAAATTTATAACAACCAATGAGTGTTAATAAAATTAATTCAATCTCGTTGTCATGTTTTCGAAATCTCTTGAATTGCTGTATTACAATATCGCGACGTTTTAATATTCATATTCCAGAATTATAAAAAAGGTTTGGATAATTTGCAATTTAACACTCTAGTTACGAAAGTCATCGAAAAAGAAACGATAAAAAAACAATAAAATAACCACAAAAAATAACATTTAATAATTTATCTTAAGTAAAAATATAGTTTACCAATAAAATTAAAATGAACATAGTTTTGCCATCAAGTAAATGGAATTGTGGTACAATATATTTTTTCTTTGTAAATGATATTAATAACGATTTAAAATTTAAGTTCTCTTACTTGCCAAGAAACAAACTCCATCTAAACGCTTACCTAGCTAACATAAAAATAATGATACACTATATAATTTGTTTAATGCGGCAAAACTTAACATGTTAAAAAATACATTTAATTTTCAATAGGCTTTCATCGACGTGGATGTCCGGGGTGTTTTAAAAGCAATATCAGCGCTTCGGACACAGTGGTCGCGGATTCGAGTCCTGGGCTGCTGTCTCTGCAACGTCGCTGACCTAGGGTTTGAGTCCCGACGGAGGTGGATTTTCAACACTAGCTACACAGCTAACTCCAATTCAACCACTGCCAGAAGAGATTTCTAGCTGCCGTCAGTTTTACGTGCTTTGTCCGATCAATACCAGGTGAATGTCAGAGAAGCACCCTTACAAACGGGCCGAGGACCGCACACGATCTTTCTAACATCATTCTTGTCCTTTCCCCTCCCCCTACACACTCTCACACTTCCACGCACTACATATGCCGGAAGGTCAGATTTTTTTATCGGCTGGGGTGATGATCCGCTAGGGGAGATAACTGGAGAAGGAAATATCGCAATCCGACGTGTAGGTCGGCGTCGGATTTCGCGTTCCAACGGAGGAGGAATCCCGTCCTCTCCCTGGATATACCCTGCACTACACTCACAGGACAAATGATCGATTAGTAGACGCGCTCGAAAACACTAAACAATCAATCGAATCCTGACCTGGGCGTCAGTGTTTGTGCCTTGGTTTCGGTGTGTGTTGTGGACGACTTCACCTTCTGCTGAGTCCAGATCGAAGCTAGAAGCAGAAGCCTGGAAGTCTTTTTGAAGTATACTATATGGGTCTAAATACACGACTGTGGAGTGTGTCGACTTTAGCTGGAAATTGCCCTAGCAGATGACAAAACAGATACGTGGTGATATTGAATTAAAACAAAAATACATTGAATAAACAAATACATGTGAAATGAGTGTGAAGTTGAGTTAAATATAAAAATGTATGTGCCGTTTTGTTCTCATTCTCGTTTGAAGCAGACACTCGCGATAACGGAAAATCGTTAAAAAGGTCTCATTGAATGTTAATATTCGCATTTGGACTGTCATCATATACTGACATGATCGTCTAAAAATTTCATTGGTCCACAATTTCGATAGATTCATCCACAACATTTATTGTATAGCAATGATACTTATGAATTAGTTAATATTTGTTTTGTATAATTATTGGATGTAATAATTTAATATTTTACGTAGCTATAACAACTATCGTTAAGTTCGTCTGTCCCATTGTACCCACTGTCAACTGGGTGTTTCATCCAGTCTCCCTGGATCTTTTAAGCAAAAGCGGAGACAGTATTCTGCTTCACCTCTGGACATCACATGGTGCTTTTCCTACCCCTTCGCAAACCTCACGTACTATTTACACTGTTTTGACATTAAATAAATAAGTCTTTTTCAATTTTTCAAAATTTTATTTTTCGTATTCAGCGTGAAAAAGGAAAAACTGAAAAAGGCGATTACTGTAAACAATAAAAACTAACTCTGACGTTAATGAAATTAAAATTCTGGAAAATATTATTTGTTTTTAAATGTATGCGAATCCACACTCTATGACATGGTAAGGGTGTTTTAATGATCTCCTGAATGTAGGTAGTACTTAAACTACACCAACTGATGGCGCAGACGTTCAAATACATCATTCCACAATGGGTTCACCAGCAGCTACGAAAGCCATTGTGATCACTAGATATTTCAATAATGAGTTGATGACTTAACACTACCTGTAGGTACATCACAGTTTACCGTATTTTTTTGTTCCTTTTCGTAGTGTACATTAAACACTCTGATAGTACTGAAAGATGCAAAATCAGATCAGAGTAGCCGAACAATCCCAATCGGGCCACCAAACTCCAAGATATGTGTTATGTCAAGCCAAAATCCACCCACCGAGAGAACAAATGCCGTGGAACATCGGGACATAATTACACGAGGAGAGCCGCAGAGAGGGAAGAGAGGAGAAAAGAAGGAACAGAAGAAGAGGGAAGACAGCGGTAGTCCACAGTCTCCGCACTGTCCCCCTCCCTTCCCTCTCCCTCGTCTCCCCGGCCGCGAACGGCGACCCCTCGCCTCCCGCGCTAAGTAAATTATTTCGCAAAATAATTTACCTATCTCCCCCTCCATCGAGGCGCCGCAATGTGGCCAACAGATGGGCTCCGTTACGAGTGTCATCCCTCGATAACGAAACCTAAGCTTTTAACGCGATGGCACGCCCGCCTCCCCCTTGCGGCTTACAAATTCGCGTATGTAATGCAGTTTGGTTGAGTCACCCGTGCGGCCGCGTTACAAATTGCTTTGTGTAGGCGCGCCGCGCCGGCTGCCATGGCAACGCGTACAAAACAATAACGCCTCTGGAAAGGCTTCCGGATCGCGTCCTTCCGTGCGAGGCGGTTCATGTTCTAAATACGCGACTGGAGCATAAATCGCGGTCGAACAGGCCCCGTCCAGTGCCCTTCCGCGCGCCCTGCCAACCGCCTCTCCCCCCGCCGACCCCCACCGTCCCCACCGTCCCCGCCGCCTCCGGTTCTTGTTCTCCTCGCGCTCGTAAAAAGTTAGCCTCTGCCGTTCGCGGTGTTGCGTGTTCTTCAGCTCCCCACGCCTCGCCTCGCCTCCCTCGTGCCCGCGGGGTGACGGCCTAATCAGCCTGTCAAACACTCCCGCCCTCTCCCGCCCGCCAGCGCCGTCCTCTCCGCGTTTGGTAAATATACTTTACGCGGCCCTTACATCTAACCGGGATAATAAACATCTGAGAAACAAGAAACGGCTCTTTTCGGGAACGAAAATTACTTCGAAGTAAACAAAACCGCTTTTTCCTTTCCAGCAAGCATCCGAATGCGGTATTAAGGGCTTCGTAATGGTTGTCACAAAAAATTCCTAAAAATCACACTTCCAC